CATCTCTGCCACTTTCTCTCCTTAAGTGACCCCCAACCTATCATATAATCAGCCCTAGTCTTCTGTCCCTCTCTGTAAAGTAGTCTCTCTGTCATGTGAGGTTTCGTTGAATCAGGCTTGACTGACCCAAGTGACATGACTATGCTCACCTCGTCAGTGTTGGCGCAAACTCCACTCCACCTCCCCCTCTCCTCCTCGGGGGATGCCTTGTGCATGTGGGTGATCTGGTGCGTGTGTGATGCCCTTAGATGTGAAGTCACGTCACACCCCGTGTATCTCATCCTGTTCACCCATGTGCGGGGCTCACATGCCCTGGGGAGCTCCTGCCTGGTCCTCCGTTGCGCCTTGAGCGGTTGCTTCCATGTGTGTCTGGCTGCTGGGTAACAGGAGCGCTGCCGCCTCATCATCGCCGACTTGACCTGCCTCCCTGGCGCGTCCGCGTGCGAGCTGTCCCAGAGTGGACACCTAGGCCTGGGCACGGGCAAGGACGAAGCGTGAGGATGTTCTGAGCACGTGGTTGAAGTGGGTGCCAGAGAAGGGAGAAAAGCTCATCCTTCGTGTTGTTCCCCACCTTTGCGTCAGGCGCCGCCCTAGGAAGTTCTCTGCATTTTCTCCTCAAATGCTCTTTGACATCTAAATCCCCGTTTTACTGAAGAACAAAATGGGGGCCCGAGGGGTTAATGAGGCATCTGCTGCCACCCAGCTGCTGAAGGCGGGCTGGCATCCAACTCCCAGGTCGGGTGGGCGCTGGGCATGGCCGTGCCTGCCCTGGATGGCCAGAGCTTGCGCTCAGCAAGCCTGCCCACGGCGGCGCCGTCTCCCCGGGCCCGCGGCGGGCTGCCTCCATGCAGCGTGCTGGGAAGAGAGCGCAGCTCGCCAGGAATTTCCTGGGGCAGTTCCAGGGCAGACTGCTTGGATCTGAGGGTTACAGGGTGACTGGGTCCTGCGCTCACCCGTCCCTCCCCCACGGGTCCCAACCCTGTACATTCTTGGAATCTCTAAGTTGCACTGTGTTCTGTGGGCACCAGGAGTTTCCTTTGAAACCCCGTGGCACCAACATCTGTTAGCTCTTAGAGAACAGAAAGATTGACAAAGAACTGCTGGGGCAGGCGGTGGGGGAAGATATTAAGCTCAGGAGTATGCAATCTCAAAGACAAAGAGGAAAAACCCCAACCCCACTCCAGCCTGCTCCCCAAGGCCCTGCTTTGATGTGGTTTTCCCGTCCTGGAGGCCTTATAAGGCATTGCGCCTGCAGCTCTGGGCTCCAAGCTGGTGCTGGCTGCACACGCAGTGCTGGAGGAGCTGGCCTGTCTTTCTGGGGCCCAGAATGGCCAGGGGAGGGGCAGCGCTGGGACTCGGAAGGGAGGCAGTTCTGGGTCCTGTGGCCTGAGCGACCACCAAGCCTGGCCCCAGACTGGACAGGGCAGGAGGGCTGGAAATCTGGGGAGGCAGTTGATCAGTCTGGAGCAGAGGCAGAGCCCAACTGTCCTGGGGGTCAGAGGCCAGGGGACCGGGGCCAGAGCTATGACCGAGTGGACAAAAGGGGCAGGTGGAGGGAGGCCAGTGTGCACCAAGACCCACACTGCTATGAGGATTACTGCAGAGCTCTAAAAACAGCTGCCCGGCAAGATGGGAGGGAGTGTCTTTACAGGTGTCTGTGAGGACATCTTGGGCCTGCAGCTGCTCCTGGAGATGTTCTGGTAGCTATCTGACCACAGAAGCAGAAGTAACAAGCAGTAACTGCTGATCTGTTGAGCCCACGGGTGGTCTTAGGTGCAATTCTAAGCTCTCCCTTCATCTTCATGACTACCCTGAGCCATCTTGACTGCTGCTATCCTGTGTACAGATGGGGAGACTGAGGCACCCTGGAGATGATGTTCGGTCCGTCACTCAGATGAACCAGCTGATATGAGGCACAACTGGGAGCTGAACCACAGTCTGACCCCTCCAACCCCATGCCCTGCACCCCTCTGCACGAGGGTTCCCAGTGGGGTTTGTGGCCGTCAAGGAGTCCGTGTGCTCAGACCTTGCTCGCAGGCCAGGGCTCAGTACAGGGCCAAGTCCCAAGCGTCTTGGGAAAGAGCTGTGGGGGTCTTTGGGTGCTACTGGACAGCGGAGTTGACCCCTGGAGCTGTAGGGGGCTGTGATCCTCTGTACTGCTTTAGTCTCTCTCCTTGCCCCTGGTGAGTGCCAGGACTTTTGGCCACTCCGTCATATGCCCACAGGAGCCCAAGTCCACAGTGCAAGCTCAGGCCAGGCATTTGAATGCAACTTTACATGATTTTCCTGTCTCATATGGTCCTTGAGTGCTCAGGGGCACTTTCTATGTAGAAAAAAATGGGAACAATGATACCCCTCATTTTATAAATTGCAGTTCATTTTTATGAGCGTCCATTCCTTGAGAGAGGGAAGAGGGAGGTTGTGATGAGGAAAGGAGTCAATACGTGCACATGTGTGAATGGATCAAGTGCCTTGAGTGGCACGTGGACATGTCCGGTTGGTGCCGTCTGTCTGGTCATGGTACTTTATCACGGTGCCCGTGGCTCCAGAGCAGGGTGAGGCTCCAGATCCAAGGGCGAGGGTGCTAAGGATATGACCTGTGTCTGGCTCAGTTCTTCGTTCCCTGCCCTTGTGATTCCAAGGGGGCCGGGGCACCGTGCTCTGCAGGCCCAGTCTGTCTGGATCCAGGTGTGAAGTGAGTTTTGCCCCAAGACTGCTCTGCAGTGGATTAGCCAAGCATGGCACCCAGGAGCTTTCAAAGTGTTCTACAGAGTGGAGTGTGGCTTAGTGGGAAAAGACTCACCCCAGAACTTGCCAGAACTCTGCTTTAATATGTAGAGACATATCTTTAATATGTCAGGGAGCTCGGGCCGCAGAGCAGACAGTTCTTCTCCGAGTGTGTCGGAAGCCGTCATCCCCTGACGACTGTGGGTGCCTCGATACACTGTGCGGCGTCCTTCTGGGGGCCCCGTCACGTGGCTGCTTTGCTGGAGCTGCCACCCGGAGTCTCTCCGTCCCTCCAAGAGGACCAGCACAAAGGCTGGAGCTCTCCAAAGCTCACAGATGCTGTTGGCCTCACCGTGGAGCATCAGGGTGCAGCCGAGGTCGGCGTGGGCCCCCTCTGAAGAGACCTCCACATGATGGGGTGTGCTGATCCTCTTGAAGACGGTCGCGGCTCCTGTGAGATTGCGCAGCCTGCCAGCCTTTCAGGGAAGGCGGCCCGTCTTCCTCTGGCATGAAAGATGGGCTTTAATTGGCTGCCGGGGCGTCCCAGCCTCTAATGATGCCACCGGGTACATCCCTTTCCTGTCACCGTCTCCCAGCTCCCTGTCAGCTCTGACTCTGTGAACACAAACAGCCAGTTTACAAGCCCAGGAAGTGCTCGGTGATTATAATAATTGACGGCAGAGGAGAGAGAAGTCACCCCGCCTGAATCAAGGGGCCTGGTGTTGAAGGGGGTGGGCTACGGAGTCTGGATGTCCACAGCCTAACAACCTTGAAGAAGGAGTGTGTGGTGCCCCAGAATGATTTGAAAGAAGCAAGAGAGAAGAACAATCCTCACCCACAGAATGTTAGCTGTCATTCTTTAAAGGAGAGAGAGACTTACCCCCAGCTGTGTCCAGTTGATAAGATCAGCTGCACAAAGCTTTGTTTTCTTTGGTTAATCCAAACGGGCACTGATTTTTCTTTTTAAGCATCTGAGGTGTAGGATTTTCCCCCTACTTTTCAAGGAGAGGGCGTTTTTTTCTTTTTTCAAAAAGAGGAGCTTGTGACAGCTGCTGGGTTGGGGCTTTTTCATTGCTCGTCAGTTTGTGGTTTGAGCGTGCCAGGCACCACGGCGGCATCAACGGAGATAAGACGGTTTCACCCCCACAACTTCACTCACCCAGGAGAGGAGCAGCTCCCAATGTAGTGTCCTTGGTACCAAAAGCCCATGTGCTGCTTTTGAAAAATAAACTCCCATGGCCTACGTAGACCTGAGGAACACAGCACAAGCCACTGCTGGATATTTGGTGTCGGTTACCGTAGTGGGTCCTGCAGCCCCGGATCTTGTTTAACTTTGCTTAAAACCGTCCTTTTTGATCACGGAGCTCTTCTTGGCAGAATGCCAATAAATACAGAGGCAAGTGTGACAATGCCTGCTCTAGCTTCTCCCATAGCTACAGTCACCCTGCTGGGGGTCAGCTAGAGGGGACCTTTGTTGACATCCCAGACATTTATTTGACAGCCTGTGGGCCAACCACACTCCCCTGCCAGCCTGACCACAGCTGAGTGGCCGCCTGGCCAGGCTAGTTGGAAGCCGCCTGGCCAGGCTAGTTGGAAGCCGCCTGGCCAGGCTAGTTGGAAGCAGCTTGGCCATATGGGAAGAGGTGCCAAGACATCTTTAACTTGCACACGGGGCCAGGCGAGGCTGTGAAGGACGAGGCTCCATGCCAAAAGGTGTGTGTGATGAGGAAGGTGTGATGGGAGGTCAGTGCGCTCAGAGCATGCAGCTGCTGAGCGTGTGCTTAGGAGTTTGGGCATATTCAGGGCAGCAGCGACACACCCAGTACGCCCAGGCCTAGAGCTGAGATAGCTCTCCTGGGGCCTCTGTGGAGGGGGGAGATCCAAATTGAGTCTCTTCTAGGGCCCCACGGGGAGGCAAGTTGACCCTGGTCCATTAAATTAGCTCAAAGGGCAAGATGAGGGAACTTTCTGGTCTGGCCTTTGTCTTTGTCTAGGATAGAGGGTGTAACTTCCTTTCTGGGGGTAGTATCTCCTGTGTAGTATCTTATGGTGAGCCAAAGACCAAGAAAAAGTGATTTCCTTGAAAGTATGGTTATAGTTCACTTTTCAAGTGTGACAGGATCCTCTTCCATTGACCTAAATTCCCATCAGAAGAATCTGAACAGGGTCCCTGCCTCCAGCCAGGCTGATGGGAGGAGGCCACCCCTCATCATCCAGAGTCCAGTTCCTACCTGACCCCTGTACATCCTTAATGCCCCTGCTTTGTCTTCTAGGAGCTCTTGGGCGAAGTTTTCAGAGAAACGCTCAGCGAGGAGGAAGAGGAAGACTTTCGGCTAGAAGGTACTAGAATCCCTATGGCTTTTTTTCCTGGGGGGAGAGGGGCATCTGGTCTACCACATGCCCTACATACTCTCCAGAAAAATCTGTGGACCAGGTAGAGGACAAGTCTGTACTCTCTGTGGGGTGGGTGGAGTGAGGAGCCAGAGCACCTTGGCTCATATCCTCACCTTGCTTGGTTTTAGGGGGGACCCTGGACAGGTTGTTTTATTGCAGTTTCCCCTTCTGGGGTGATCAGAGGAGCTACTCACAGGCCCTCCAGACTAAACTGGTAATAAGCTCTACATAAAACAACGATTTCCTCATTTCTCCATTATATCACTCAACTGGAACACGACAGGTATACAGGTGCACGAGCGCACTCCCCCCACCACACCCCCAGCTCCTCACTTCTCTATAGTTCTTATTCCTTTCTTTCTTACATAGATTATTTAGAAATAATTACTGTAGGAGTAACTGGGACAAAAAGGCAGAGAACTGCCAGGCAGCTGGCATGCTAACCCGACTCTTGGCAACCTCTTCACCTCACCAGGCCTTAGTTTCCACATCATTTCGGTGGGAGTGAGGATTTTTCCTGCTTGATTCCCTGTATTTATTTATGCCAAGAACAGGTAAAATCTAGAAGTATGCTAAATGGGATAACACTTCCATTTTCTATACAGAATCAGAGAAGGGAATCACCAAACGGGGTGGCCTTAGCACAGGAAACCCGCTCTGCTGGGGCGAGGGTGTACCACTGGCAGGAGAGCTGGGCCCCGGGTGTAGGGGTCCTGTTGGGCCCTGAGAGGAGAGCAGGCAACGCCAAGAGGTTTTCTAGGGGTCTTGGGATAGACCTGAGGTCTGTGGCCACATCTGGCCTCCAGAGTTTGTAGAATCTTCTGTTTCCAGGCCTGCTGAATCCAATCTGCATCTGAACAAACTCCCAGGGGGCTTGCAGGTACACTGCACTATTTTAAGAGAGTCACTCAGTTGCCCAAGAGTTGGAGACACGCTGGGGATCAAGGTATCTGTCAAACTTTGCTAATGTAAGATGTCCCAACTCAAGGGGTGACAGTCCCATGGACAGATGGCTTTGTCCAGGCTGTGAATGTTTCCTTTGAACATGTTTGCCTATGGCCTGAAGGCTACACTCAGGTGCTGAGAGATTTGATGAATCATTCCCTGGCCTCGCCAAGCCTTGGCAGTCATCCTTGGCTCATGGACAGATGTCAGGATTTGGTGGCTAGGGGAGATCTGGGAAGTCAGGTAATGGTCTGCAGGGTATAGACCTTGGGGATCGAGGTGATCCTGGACATCAAGTGCTTGGGTTGCAGCCCCCATTCCATTTATCTAGTCATTTGCTCAATCACAGTGTAGCTTAATAGCAAGTTCATTCTCTTGTCCACTCATCCTTCCCTCTGTTCCATCTGTGACCCATTCACTGTCCTCCTAGCCACCCACGTGTCCATTCATCTGTCCATCCATCCTCCTGTCACTCATCACCATCCCATCATCCACCCCCCTACTAATCCATGACCTACTCACCCAACACTCTTCTCTGTCTGCTCACCTGTTGGCCCCACAGTCATCGCCCATCCTGCCATGCCTGCCTGTTCATTCCCTTGCCTGCACTCAGCACTCATCCGTCGCCAGCCCTCCTCTGCCCCCCAGCCACCTGCGGCCCATCTCGTCGTCATGAACTCATCCTTTAATCCACTTAGCCATCCTCCGTTCTCTCTCTCCATCTGTCTTTCCCTCTCTCCATTCACTGAGTCCCTATTTACTGCTGAAACCCAGACACTTTTCCATCCGTTGAGGCACAGTCTGAATTCATGTTAGTGATTTTGCCTTTTCCTCACAAACGCTCACGAGACGCTGCCCCGTGCAATCCACCACCCTCTGTAAGGGGGTCGCTTTGCTCAATGTCTGTGTCCAGAGCATGATGTCAAGCAGGAGGAACCTGTAGGCCTCGCTGTCCTTCTCTGCCAGTGACGTGCGTGGACTTCGGGCAGGTCCTTGCCTTTTGGGGTCCTCCTGCCCTCTGTAACCTGATGAGTGGGGATGTGCAGACTCTGGGTACTCAGAGAAATGTGGGAGGCAGCACTTCCAAATACTGGTGGATATTGAGGAGTAAATACAGGGTGCCCCAGGGTCCCAGCTCCTGTTGGGGAAAGAGTGTGAAGTGGGTGGCATCTGGCCTGATCCTGTGACCGGCAATTGTATGTTGGGCTTCGAGGGCAGCCAGGTGTCACTGGGGTCGAGGCACACTGGTGCCACCCCTGAGGAGGCAGGGGGTCGGGAGCCAGTGGGCTGCCTCACTTTCCCAACTAGGAGTTGGAACCTGTTGATGATGGTCAAGGTGCTTAGCCCCTCTCTTCAAACGAAAGCTTACACAGAAGCACAAAATGTAAAACAGACCAGTGAACAGAGGATGTAGGATGTTGTTTTTTTACATAAAACAGGCTTCGGTCGACACTCGGTGTTTCCGTGTGTGTGTGTGTGTGTGTGTGTGTGTGTGTGTGTGTGTATGTGTAGCACACGTGTATATATTATGGTGTCACTGGAGACCTCTACAGATGAACATAGTTGCTCCTTCCAGACTTGGGATAAGAGGACTGTAGTATTAACTGTGATTAATGTTTTGACTTTTACAAGAAGGATGTAATCATGTATTCCTTGTGACATGGAAGATTAACGACAAAATTAAACAAGTAAGTACAGCGAGCGAGAGAGGGGCTGCTCTGCCTTGAGAGTAGACCTGCCTGGGGCCCTTGGAGGGACACTGGGCCAAGTGGTGGCTGTGGTTCTCTTGTTGCTGGGGCCACCCTTGGCGCTGGGGCCCGAAGCTGCCCGCTGGCGCAGGGTAGGGGCATGGCCGTGGATGGCAGGCCGCCGCCACCGGGCTGGTGAGAGCGGGTGCAGCTGAGTCCTGGCTCAGGAGAAGCATCCACCTGGCCTGGGGTTGGCGGCGGGTGTCCCTCTGTGCAGCTGGCAAGGGAGGCCAAGCTGAATCCTGAATCTCTCCTTTGTCTTCCTCTTGGCCAAGTTCATTGCCTCTTGGCGGCCTGGAGGGCTGTTTAAGGGAGAAAAAAGGCCATCTGAGGCGTGAAGATAAAAAGAAGTCTTTTAGCCATCCCAGGAGAGGATGGCTTTAGCTCCTGCGTTGTTATGTAAAGCCGGCCCTAATCCAGCGTCTTAACCGCCTTAACTGGCCAGCTGGGAGCACGAGGGATGGGAGATTAAGGCTGGGCTTGGGGCAAGGGCTGGGGCCTGCGGAGCTCCTTTTGAACTGTGCAAAGAACAAAGTAAACATCAAAAGTCCCAAGCTCTGAGAGCTGGCTGGGCGTGGCAGGGGCAGGACATGCGGCTTCGGTGGGGAGGAGAAGGGGACCCTCCCTCTGCTGACCGCAGGGGTCTGTGGGCCGGGGAAGGACTACACCTCACTTCCCTCCAGCACCCACTTGACTCCCAGGTTGGGCAGTTGGCAGGCGGTGGCAGCCCGTGCCTGGTACCCTGGGTCAAAAATTGGTCTCATGTCACCCTGAGCAGCCTCCTGGTAGTGCTGTTTCTGGGGGTGCCCCCCCCCCACCTTAAATGGTAACAGGCAACAGGCTCCTTCTCTCAGTTGCCTTCTCTCCCTTCCACCAGGTCCGGTGTCTGTCCCTGCCTGCCCCTTGGCTCACTCCTGCCCCTCACCTGCTGGCCTCTGGCCCTCAGCCTCCCCAGGGCCTACTTCGTGTCTTCTGACCTCTTTGCTGGGGGGTGAAAGCAGGCAGAGAGCAACCCCCTTGGCAACTTCTGTAGAGAGCAGACTCCACAGCACCCCATCTGCTTGCTGATCCTGACCCCATAAGGAGACCCCAATGCCTCTAAAGTCAGGTAGACTCCGACCCCTGGCCCTGGCCTGGCTGTGGTTGGACTGAGACCGCAAACAGCCTGACTGTGATCCGGGGCCTCTCCGAATCTGCCGTCCTAACTTGCCTCCTGCCTCAGTGTCCGCAGGAGACCCCTTCCTTTTCTCATTCTGCCTTTCTGGGAATTTGCATCAGACCCTGGTTCCAGCCTGGCTAGAATTCACGTTGTGACATTGTGCGAGTCACTTAACTTCTCTGTGCTTCAGTTGCCTTGTCGGAGACGGTGACAGCACCTCCTCACGGCTCCCGTGAAGACAGTCACTGACACAAGCCAGAGAGCATCTCGGGACAGCCCAGTGCCCAGTGGTGGCAATTACCACGGTTCTCATTGTTCGTGGGTCCATCTTTTTGAAGAGGGTTCAGCCGGTGTGTATAATCATTTACTAGTCCAGATCAAAGAAGACCAATTTCAAAGCTTCTCTAATCCTATTAGAATCTCGACTCCCAGTACCTGGAGTAGGGTCTGGCATGCCGTAAATGCTCAATAAAGACTCACGAGAAGAATGAAGTCACTAAAGTCAGGGGCCTCCTCCTGGGCCAACCGTGAACATCCGGCATGCCCTTTTGGGGTCCAGGCCACTCTATCCAGGCTCCCCATTGTGAGATATCAACCATTCACAGGGCCTTGGATCCCTCGAAAGGCCGTTGGTCTCCTCCATTTGTGGCTGGAAAGCTGAGGTCCGGAGAGGGAGTGTGACCTGTCTAAGGTCACACGACAGACGAGAACAGAACCCAGACTTCCAGCTCCTCCTCATCCCGTGTTTACTGGACACCTGCTGTACGTGTGGGGCCCTAGGTTCTTAGCTGCAAACAAGGTTGGCCGGCCCTGCCATGAGGGCTTTTGTGTGAGGGGAGCAGAAAGTAGATAAATGAGCCAAAGAGTGAGCAGGTGAGCTGGTACTAGGCAGAGGTAAAGCCCAGCAAAGGGTAGAGTGTGCCAGGGCCTCTCCGAGCAGGTGACATTCCCGTGAGATGCAGATGGCCAGGAAGGGCCAACCATGGAGGGCAGTCAGGAGGAGGGAGCAGAAGCCCCGGATGGAAGGAACCGGGGGCTGAGGTAGACAGAAAGGAGGCCCGTGTGGCAGGAGGGGACATGGGGAACAAGGGTGG